CCTGGGGGAGTGGCTTAGGACATGTCTTGTCCCTCGCCCAAGACTGAGCATTGCTCTCGCGTGCACAGCCCAATCCTCAAGCTTGACACTCGCCTAGTACATCTGCGACTAGCTCATGCTTCGCCCGAGTAAGGCAACCTTTAGCCCTTGGCCATTGTCATGTGCGTCTTTCGTGCCATGCCCATACATTGCCCTCGCGACACGCTTCCATCCCGAATAGTGCAGTGTCGCCCCACAACTGCACCTTTAGGCCAACAGACCCTTACTTGCATGGTTGAACCCAAGTCATGCTCACAAGTCGACACATGATGCCCCTATGACAGGTGCGTCAAGTATCCAATCGGCACGGAGGTCTCGTTCCAACATTCGGCAGCCCGCAGGGCTGACCGTCCCACACATCGAGCCTCCAGCGCCACTTTGATGCCCAACGCTAGCCCGAAGGCGTTGCACCGCCCATAGAGTTTCCCTAACTCGTATGGGTATTTTTGACACTCCTTTGAGTCATCTAGGCAGGCCCCTGAGGTTGCCCCCAAGGTAGCTCGTTCTATACGGCTCGGTGGCAGCACGTGTGGGGGAGGCAGGTCGGAGCTTTCATCACCTATATCCTCCTTATATATGCTTAAAATTAAAAAGCCCAAGTTGCCCGAGTAGACAGTTCTACGTCAGACCATCAGAAGGACCTTTTCTCACCAGTTCTTGGCCGAAATCACAACTCCAAATTGCGAGTTGTGACATCCTCCTACACTCATAATGTCATCGTCCCCGATGACACATCATGGCTTAAGACATCCCTGAGTCTGCCTCCTCAGGTATGCCCATTCAAGCTCCCTTTGTCCTGTGGGTTGGACTTCCTCGAAGTCCTTTCTCAAAAGGAGTCATGCCCCATGCACTTCTCCCCCAAGTATCTTCCAAGCGTGCCTCTGTACTTCACCTCCATTCGGTGTTCACTTGGAAAGTGCCTCCGCACTTTCACCCTCTGGTGTCTAACTTTGTGATTGACCCACACTAGTCAATCACACCATGACCCTCACAGCCTTCATGTCCGTCTGAAGCTTTCCTTCACAGGTTAGCACATCAATGTGCTTTTTTGACGTCGCTCCTGTAGCCTTTAGCTTCCATAGCCTTAAGATGCCCTCTTTGGCATGGCTCCCATAGCCTTTCGCTCCCGTAGTATTAAAACGCCCTCTTGGCATAGCTCACGTAGCATTCCGCTCCTATAGCTTTTAGTTTCCCTCACTACCTTGAAGATGTGTTCGCTTCCAGACCCACGACTTCGCCCATATGCCTCTTGCATAGGTGGGATCCTCCCACACTCAATGTGGAGGATACATCTTAGCGCTGTCGTCCCACTTGGTATTCGGCCAGCACTTGGGATGACATTTGGTGAGTACTATATTCCCAATGGTATTCGGCCAGCACTTGGGATGACCTTTGGTGAGTACTATATTCCCAAAGTCATAGCATCGCCGCATTCCCGAACAAAGCTCTTTGTTTTCCAACTGTCACTTCCTCAGCAAGTAGCCAATGCTCCTGGTAGTACTTCAATACTCGCCCTATAAATAGGCACCCTCTTGGTCCTGCTAGCACGACTTCCCAGTTCGGTGTGCCTCGCACCAGGACACTCACGGTCCCCGATCATTCGACGTACCTCTTTCCAGAATGATGACACCTTATAACTTAGAAATCAGCCCAGTTCCGAAACTTCGCTATACCCTCGAATTCGTTTCCTCACCTTGGCAATGCTCTCAGGCAACCCAAAGGTCTTCTTCCGTAGGAAAGAGACTCAACTTGATGCGTTGCACGCATCCTTGGCAAGATATCCGCTATGATCACGCCCAAGTTTATAGTCCATGGCTCCCACTCTTCGCAATATGGTTGCACAACCTGGAAAACATGGCTTTTGGCCATCCGACTCATCGGCATATCACCTTATTCAGTAGCACCTTAGACTCACGAAAGACAATGGAATCACCCATTTCTTTCGTCGACCATCAGTATCGGGTTCTCGATCTTTGGTAGCATATGAACATCAATCTCTGCTTTGACGTGATCTCTGCACTGACATCCAAAATGCGCTCACCATATCCACCCTTTGCCTTGACATTGTGCCATGGCATAGTATGGCCTTAATCAGCTCTGATACCAAGTGTCACGGGCCCAAATCCTTATATTGGGTAGCGGCACCTGCTCGCCCATACGGCGCCTGCAGTTCCCCTCGCTGCAGGCCAGCCTGTTTCCTATCCCAGGATTCCCAAGCACGATCCTGTGCCTGTTGGTGGGATTCGCCCGTAGGCTTGCCCCAACTTGTGCCGCCCGTAAGATGTCTAGACCCTTGGCCCTAGACATGTCATGGCGCTTCATCTTAGGATCACTATCCACGCGTGCCCTGGGGGATTGGCTTAGGACATGTCTTGTCCCTCGCCCAAGACTGAGCATCGCTCCCGCGTTCACAGCCCAATCCTCAAGCTTAACACTCGCCTAGTGCATCTGCGACTAGCTCGTGCTTCGCCCGAGTAAGGCAACCTTTAGCCCTTGGCCGTTGTCATGCACGTCTTTCGTGCCATGCCTATACATTGCCCTCGCGACATGCTTCAATTCCGAATAGTGCAGTGTCGCCCCACAACTGCACCTTTAGGTCAACGGACCCTTGCTTGCATGGTTGAACCCAAGCCATGCTAACAAGTCGACACATGATGCCCCTATGACAGGTGCGTCAAGTATCCAATCGGCACGGAGGTCTCGTTCCAACATTCGGCAGCCCGCAGGGCTGGCCGTCCCACACATCGAGCCTCCAGCGCCACTATGATGCCCAACGCTAGCCCGAAGGCGTTGCGCCGCCCATAGAGTTTTCCTAACTCGTATGGGTACCTTTGACACTCCTTTGAGTCATCTAGGTAGGCCCCTGAGGTTGCCCCCAAGGTAGTTCGTTCTATACGGCTCAGTGGCAGCACGTATGGGGGAGGCAGGTCGGAGCTTTCATCACCTATACCCCCCTTATATATGTTTAAAATTAAAAAGTTCAAGTTGCCCGAGTAGACAGTTCTACGTCAGACCATCAGAAGGACCTTTTCTCACCAGTTCTTGGCCGAAATCACAACTCCAAATTGCGAGTTGTGACATTCCCTCCTTATAAAGAATGCTATAGCATAGGATTACACTCAACTATAAGGAGACAAATACAGTAAAAATTAAATTGAAGTAAAATCATGGTCAAAATGATGCAATCTCACATAATCCATCTTCACCGCCACTTGCGAAACTGCAAAATGAAATAGCTAGTTCATACGAATGATTTAAGTGTTATGCATATTCACTTTGATTTATTGATTCTTAAGATTAATTATATAGTTAGGTATAAACACCTGATACATGTAAGTCTTTATTGTTCATACGACACTTAAATATCTACAATAAAACAATGGTCACAATAGTGTGTTCTATCTCATTTTGAGCTCCAAATTTTCCAAGTACACCCATTGAAGTTGTATTCCTTGAGGATGCAATTTATTGATGGTAAAACCGAAACAAAAACGTTTTCGACACCTCAATTCCAAACTAATTGGAGTCAACTATATAAATATTTTTAATTGTTTATCTATTTGAGCCCATTTCACTAGAATACCAAAATAATTTAATTTGTCTCGTAAAACAAACAAATTACGGGTACTCTAACTAGAAGTTCTATAAACCTCAGATTTATTATACATTGATCCCTTGATCACTTATTATAGTGATGTACATTTGAGACCAAGTACAAAATTTTCTTTTATCTGAACAAATACACACTGAATATGTAAATCTTCACATAACTTAATAATTATGTCTTTCTTTTCCCATTTTGACCTTTTAGTTGAAAGGATTCACATATAAGATGCAAGAACATGGAATGATCAGGCGTTACCTTTTCCCATTAGGATTGAAAGCCAAAATATTTATTGGTCCAAAACAGCTGAAGCATCCTTATCGTTTCCCAAAACCACCTATAAAACCATGAGAACCATTAGATTAGAAATATATCATTTACAGCTTGTTTGGATACATGCTGTAATGGCGTTGAGAACTAACGATATCATTTAAGTAGAAGGTCCAAAAATGCAATGGCGTTTCTGTTTATAATTTATATAAGATTGGTGAAGAAAATGGCATAATAGCTTCCGCCAATTAAACCGTAGGGTTTTTAAAAGCTGAAATTTTAATTTTCTCATTTGAACACTCGAACTCATTTTTTCTTGTAATTAATAAACGCATTTGACCATTGACCATGCGCGCGTGTATATTACACATACACATACGTGTCCATCTAGTCAACAAATGACCAATGGATGTCTTACACGTCAAGGCCGCGAAAATCCTAACCCAACAGATCGGGGTCCCCTCTTTTATTCTATAGACCGACCCCCTCCCCTCATTTTAATCTCTCTCTAACCAAGCCCTCCTTTGTTAAACATGGGTTATCAATGGGCTAACGTTCATTCACCCCCTTTCAAAATCGATCATAATCACTCACCCATTTTTTGTTTTCGTTTATTATATGTTAATCTCGTTCTGGTTGAGTTTCGTTTGGTATGTGCTTTCGATTCTAGTGACGTTATATGATCTGAAGGTTCGTTTGTTTCTTTTCTATTCCATTATTTTCACGGCCTTGAAAAAGAAAAAAATTAGAAATGGAGCTTCTTAAAAAAGGAGGAATAGAGTATTTTAGAAGGAATGAATAAGAAGACACTTAAATACAACCCATTTTGTACCGTTAGACGTTGGGAAGGGGGCTTTCACGCTCCTGTGCGTCGTGTTCCTCATGTGGCCTACTGATAGGACCAATTGATGTCACATGGGCATGGTCAATGATCAAATGTGTTTATTAGTTACCGAAAAAATGAACTGTTCAAATGGAATATTAAAAATTCATGTATCGGCTTTTAAAACCCCACAAGTTTAAATGGCCAGAAAGTCATTCTTCCAAAGAAAATCCTTACTAAATCGATTTTTTCGAGATGTGGGCTTAATGTGGATTAGTTTAAAGTACCGACCTAGACGTTTAGAGTCTCATGCGGCTAACGTCTCAACATGTGAGACATTCGACTTATGCATGCTTACGCCTTGAATTATTCGGCTATTTGTTCTTTATTTACAAAAACAAATGTTCTAATATAGTTTTATATAAATGCTATTTTTATTTTCAGAAATATTTGAAGTTAATAGTAATTCGTTAGTTTCCCTCTCTTAAAACACTGGTTATGAATGCATCACTCTCAATTTCTTCACCAACTTCAACGATGCGCCAGATTCCATTTCCCTACCGATGGCAGAAAATTACATGCTCAAATAGTCAAGATTGGCTTAGACAATTGCTCGCTAAAGCTTTGCAACAATCTCATAGACGTGTATGGCAAATGTGGCCTCTTAGACAACGCCGTCCAACTGTTCGATGAAATGCCACAAAGAGATTTAGCTTCATGGGCCTCTATTTTTACTGCACACAACGAAGCTAACAAACACCAAACGACCCTTTCCCTCTTTTCCAACATGTTTTTGGATGGTCTTTGGCCGGACCATTTCGTTTTTGCTAGTATTGTTAAGGCTTGTGCTAACTTAGGCACTTTGAAAATTGGCAAACAAGTGCATGCTCAGTTCTTGAAATCAGAATTTTCTCATGATGATGTTGTTAAGTCTTCTATGGTTGATATGTATGCAAAATGTGGATTGCCCGATATTGCAAGAACTGTTTTTGACGCTATCTTGGTTAAGAATTTGATTTGTTCAAGTGCAATGATATCGGGGTATGCACGTGTTGGGAGGAAAGATGAAGCTTTTGAGCTACTAGGGAAGTTGCCAGTAAAGAATTTGCAATGTTGGACTGCTCTGCTATCTGGGCTCGTGCAAAATGGGAGCTTGGTTGATGCCATTGATGTATTTCTTGAAGTAAGAAGAGAGGGTATCGATATGAGGGATCCATTTATTCTTTCAAGTATAGTAGGAGCTTGTGCTAGCTTAGCAGCATTACAGCTCGGGAAACAGATTCATCGGTTAGTTTTAGGACTTGGGTATGAATCCAGTTTATTCGTTAGTAATGCCCTTGTGGATATGTATGCAAAATGTAGCGATATCATGGAAGCAAAGAGAATATTTGATAGCATGTTGACAAGGGATGTTGTATCTTGGACCTCAATTATTGTCGGGATGGCACAGCACGGGCAAGCTATTGAGGCGTTATCTTTATACGATGAGATGATCTTTGCTGGCGTTAAGCCAAATAAAGTAACTTTTGTTGGATTAATCTATGCTTGTAGTCATGTTGGATTAGTAAGCAAAGGTCAGAGTCTTTTTAAATCCATGATTGAAGATTATAAGTTAAGTCCTTCTCTGCAGCATTATACTTGCTTATTAGATCTGTTTAGTCGATCTGGTCACCTTGAGGACGCCGAGAACCTTCTTAACACAATGCCATTTCAGCCTGATGAAGCTGTTTGGGCTGCTTTATTGAGTGCTTGTAAGCAACACGGAAATACTGAAATAGGAGTTAGGGTTGCCAATCGCTTACTAATTCTCGGTCCAAAAGATCCTTCAACTTGTATATTGCTGTCAAATACATATGCTGGTGCAGCTTTATGGAACGAGGTATCTAAGTTGAGGAAGCTGCTGGCAAATTTGGAAGTTAGGAAAGAACCTGGTTACAGTTCTATTGATTTGGGAAAAGAAACTACGACATTCTATGCTGGAGAGGCATTGTATCCAATGAAGGATGAGATATTTGCTCTCTTAAAGGAGTTTGATTCTGAGATGAGGAAGAGAGGTTATATTCCTGACACCACGTTCGTTTTGCATGATATGGAGCAGCAAGAGAAGGAAAGGCAGCTTTTTTGGCATAGTGAGAGATTGGCTGTGGCTTATGGACTTCTGAGAACTGTTCCTGGATCAGTAATAAGGGTGGTGAAAAACCTTCGAATTTGTGGTGATTGCCACACAGTTATAAAATTTATATCAAGCATTACAGGTCATAAAATTGTCGTTAGAGATGCAAATAGATTCCATCACTTTGATAAGGGGATATGTTCATGTAATGACTTCTGGTGATTGTGTGTCTTCAACTGTTAAGTATCTATTTTCCTCATACTTGGTAAGGTGCACACTGTTCGACAACCATCTAACCATCCTTGAGAGCTTTCAAGATTCGATATAGCTGTGCTTAACGATCAAACGCTCGTGCTGAGTCTTTTCTTGCTCTCAGGAATTTCGGTGCACGTTCTTCAGACACGATCTTGATTCACTATGAAGAGAAATTCTTTACACTTGGTAGACACAATGGTGATGGTGGTGATCAGGCTTTGTTAAACCCTTATGGTAATACATTGCTTTGAACTTTTCATAATACACCATTTTCCTGTGTTTTCTTTAGCATTGGAGATGGAAAAGAATGGACAAAGGGAAATGTAATTATCACAGATAGCATAGTCTCCTTTATGATCATTTCCTATTCAGTTCTACTACTCTATGTTGTATTTTGCCACAAGAACAGGATTTGTTATAAAGATACCTAACCCTTAGAACTCATTAGAGTTGGAATGCAAATAATAACATGTATTTAAGTGATACATAACGTCAAATCTGAGACCTCTTGTTAAGGATGGAGGATTCAAACCAACATTCGAGATACTCAACTAGACGTTAAAGTTGATTTAATTTGAAATTCCTTTTCTCAAGCAATTCAAATAATCTAAACTCTTTACAAATTCTGTTTGTTTATCCTCACGAATATATTGTTCTCTCACTCTACTTTGTTTTTCTATTTCTTCCCTCCATCTGAGTAGTTTTGCCTGGGGCTAACCATGTAATTAGGAGGTTTAAGTACGGAATAATTGTTTTATCGATAAAACAAAAATTAAAAAAAAATGCATGGAATAGAAAGAAGAAAAAAAATAGCAAGAACAAGTGCAACATCTCCCAAAATTGAATGTAATTTATTTTTCAGGAGACAATATTACATGCTTATTGAACAAGTTTGTGGTACAAAAGTAGTTAAATTTGCCTTCAATTACAACTTTTACATCCTCATAAATATACAGTTCTATTAGATCTATTCAATTTCAATCACTACATTATCATTACAAACACATTTTTTTATGGAAAAGTTCTGAAAACCCGTTCGCCGGTAGCAATTCAGATCTTGCAGCTTTCATAGAAAAAAAAAGTGGGGATTCCAGAGACAGGAATCATTTGTACAAGTTCTCAATTTGCTCTTTGTAAAGAGCTGCAACTCTGTCTCTCTTGATTTTCATGGTTGGTGTTAGTAAGCCACTATCAATCTGCATGCCAAAAAATTGTCTAAGATATACAAATAGTCTTGACATTTAAATCAAATTGTCAAAGAGGTACAGTTAATAAATGGTACCGTGAAAGGTTCATCGACAATAAGGATAGGTCCAACTTGAAATGAGCAACCTGAAGTCCTGCATTTTCAACAAAGATGGCAAAGATTTTTATTTTAATGGAACTGAAAATAAAATACTGATAGGATACGAGTAGGAACACGGAGGGGAGCCTTGGCGTAATTGGTAAAGTTGCTGTCATGTGACCACGAGGTCACGGGTTCGAGCAGTGGAAACAACTTCTTGCAGAAGTGCAGAGTAAGGCTGCTAGACCCTTGTGGTCTGGGCCTTCCCCGGACCCCGCGCATAGCGGGAGCTTAGTGCACCAGGCTACCCTCTTTTTTTTTTTTTACACGAGTAGGAACACAAAGATATATCAGTATAAGTGTAACGGACTTGGTCAATGGCAGACATTAGAACTACAATTAGTATGACATAAAGAATGGAGTTAAGACCTTTCCACAATCTTATAAGAGGGTTAATTTGGTGATTCGTTGCATCATTTACACATTTCCATCAGGAAGTGGATAAACAAGTTTTCTGATATACGATATGCGAGGGAATTGGTCAATGTAGAAGCTGTAAGTCCGTACCATTTTCTTAACTCCTCGTATAATAGGCCAACTGCTTTTTCCTTGCTAAGTTCAGTGGTTTCAGAATCCACAATAGCTGATCTTTTAGCTGCTAACAGAACCTCCTCCTTATTTGGTACAATTATAGCTCCAAGGCGTCGTTGATCCTACATGTTACTGATGTCAAACTTGTGCAACGTGAGAGAAAATCTTAATTATGCGCTCAATGACAATTCACCTGGCCAATGACAACAATCTGCTGAATCAGACGACTTCCCATTGCAGCTTCTTCAATCTCTGATGGTTCAACATTCTCACCTAGTTTTTCCCCAGGAGGCAAATACATAAAAATAAAGTTCAAAGCTCTGAATTGCAATTATAATAAGGCCAATCTCATGGCAGTTTACGAAGAGAAAAATCATCTATGATAATAAACACATAATAAAGGCCCTAATTACAAAAAGGTGTTGCATTCACAACAACTACTATGCTTCAATACCAAGCTAGTTGCGGTAAGTTATATGAATCCTCATTGTTCAAGTAGCTCGGTTACGCCCGTTTTAATCCAATTTTATAACTATTAGTTTCTCTAACGTTAAAAGTTCTCTACATCTATCTCTAAATGTCTAAGAAGACTAAAGACCCTAACAAATGTTGGACTAAAGTAAACGTATTAACATGACTAAAACTTACTCACAACTAATTGGATCAATTATAGCTAATCGAATACTAGCCATAACAAGCTTCAGATCTTTATTCTTTGTACATGAGTCAATTGCTAGTTTCTATGGGATCTATTCTGGAACTTCTTTTATAATGGTGGTGTTTGGCCCATCTTGCGCGCCTGGACATTCTATAGGTTACCTGCTACCACCCCACAAGCACAGGCACCAAGCAAATCTGTCCTTTTCGCCTAGCATTTTCTAATTTGGAACTTCCAACAGCAGCAAGTTTCAATGGGAATCTAATTTGGATTCCTCTGAACTCACAAACTCCTATGTATTGAACTGTAAGTCATAGCCCATACGACCCAACTCAAATCAGTTTTCATTTGTTTATTTTTCTTTTAAAATATCTACCTAAATTAATATATCAGCAATCCAACTCGTCCAAACTCTACCTAAATGAATGCATCATTCACCGGTACATCCAAGCTTGGGTGCGTTGAATGGCGTACACATTTATAGGTTAAAATTGACACTTATACTTTTGAATTTCAGCTATAAATTGGACAGGTCAAAATCTTTATTCNCAGAATGATCAGGCGCAATCCAACCAAGATCACCAGTGTTCAGCCATCCATTCTCATCAATAGCTTGTTTTGTTGCCGACGGATTCTAACAATAATTCACATAATAATGATGGTTAACCAACACTGCCAGTGGAATAATATTCCGGAGTAACATATACAGCAGAAAAGTGACCACCTATGAAGCTACTGAAGGCAAAACATGCTTTTGATGTTTTTCATAATGACGAAGAGTAACAAGGAAGCTCTTTTATAAGTATTGCTGAAAAGGCAACAATAGGGAGAAATGGAGTACTTACAATTCATAGGATTCGACTGATCAAGCTATTGCATTGCATTGCATTAACAGGTCGAACTAAGATGAACTGTAGAATTCATTATGCTCAAACAAAAATTTATGCACTAACCTTATAGTAGCCCTTCATTACTAGTGGCCCTCTGGCTTTTACAATGCCTCTTGAGCCTGGAGGAAGGACCTCATCTGTTTCTGCATTTACAACTTTTACTTCTACATGCCGAATGGGAGGCCCAACTGAGCCGAGTACCTTCAGAGATTAAATCAATGACTGTGTTATATGAATATCACATTCAGAATATGCATAGTTAAAGCAAAGTAGATATAAACTAGCCTAAGAATATGTAAAATATAAATCGCATATTTGTGTTGTGGGAAGCAACAAATGTGCCATATGAAACAATTTCATGTGATGGTTGTGGTATTATGGCATATTTAATAGATAACCAATGGTACGTGAAACCTGTGAATTGAATAAATTCAAAGAATACTTTAGGAAAAACTCTTTTTCAGCATAAAGTCTGACTAGAGGTAATGTCATGCTCTTATATGAATAGCAGTTAAGTTATTGGTAACTATATTCGTGATTGCTCGATTCAGAGGAAAGTATTTTTTTATCATTATACAGAGGAAAGTATTTTAATTTACTTCACGCCCTCCACCAGATTCCCACGTAAGAATTTATGATGCACGCCTGCAGAAAGATGCTTAGAAGCTCAAGGCACTGCTCTATACCAATATCATACAAGGTATCTCTATGAGAAACTTCAATGTCGAAGCAGAAGTTGAATTCTTTTGGTTCTATAGGTAGAGGATACACTACTCACATTACACGCAGGATGACGGGCAGCAACCACAGGAGATGACTCAGTCAGACCATATCCATTCTGAATCTTTATGTCAATTGCCTAAGAATTACCAAATGACATGTAAGAAAGGAGCACGAATCCAATTGCCTACAAACAATAGTTAAGACTATAAGAGCTACTAACCTCAAAGAACTTGTCAACATGTGAAGAAAGACTACCACCTCCACTTACGCCAGCCTGTAAAATATAAAAGGAAGGTAATCAACTGTCTTCACAATCTAGTGGACCTAAGTCACGTTGGGCCATGCAAATATAAATAACAATAAAATATTAGCAATCTTTACAGAAAAGAGTAGGATGTGGCTGTTAACAAGGTATTGAAAGATGAAAGTTTACAACTATGCATTTGGAAAAACAACAGCACGAAAACATGTAAGCTATTTTCTGCAACCTTTTCTAGTTATTTCCACTTACATTGACATGAGAGTAGGTGTATTGTCTCCAACCTTTTCAAATTATTTCCACTCACATTGGCATGAGAAAAACTTTCATCTTCTCACTTTTAAATTTCTTATTTTACTTTCTTTCTATTTCTAAACTTACTTTGTCCTACTGATGTTGTAAGTTTATCCTGTTAGCTCTTCTATTTTCTTTTGATACACCCTAACTGCATCAAAAATTTCTGTGTCGTGGATATGTACAGTGTACCTAGCTCGCCCATGTTTTAATAATATAGGGAAAATGGCAGAAGTTTAACAATGACGCATCAACCTTCGAACTTCAGAGATGCACCAGACAAAGAACACCAGAAGTCACAAACAGTAGCATATCCAACCTTTGAAATACCAATGCTTGCGTGTATTTTACTGTAAACAATTTTCTTCGCCAGCATATGCAGCGGCCATAATATAGCAGCAATAGTTCTAGCCCACAACCAGTCGAGCAATGATACAATATATGAAGGTTGCTTGGTGTCCTTCATTAAACATTTCCCCTGCATAAGAGACCGTGATACAAAAGAGTAAATCATGATTATCTAAGCAAAACTCTGTGCTTATTCACTACAATAATGGTGCATATAAGCTGAAATCATAGTACAATAATATCAGGAATTAACCTCGTAAATCCTTTTTGCCTCCATGTAAGCCATACTGATCCTTAAAAATAATAGGGCAATGAGTTTACGAGCAGCAGAGTTTGAATTGATCTGCTTTAGAATTCCACTGTAAAGTTCATAAACAGTAGTGTATCATTTAATAATATACAACAACAACAACCCAGTAATATCCCACTAATGGGGTCTAGGGAAGGTAGTGTGTACGCAGACCTTACCCCTACCCCGAAGGAGTAGAGAGGCTGTTTCCGAAAGACCCTCGGCTCAAGAAAACAAAAAGACAAAAGGACAAAAAGATACAATATTAGTATCACCACAGCAATCATAGGAAAAATGAGAACACCATGAAAACCAGAAGAAAGATGCAAAGCAAAAGCGATAACTAGTAAATAGGTCCTTCACTGAAAAGCGAAATAGTAAGACAAAACATTGCCACTAGCTATCTTAGATNGGACTCCAGATGCTAACCTCCACTTCATCCATCCTACCCCAATACGGTGTGTGACATCCTTGTCGATCTCCCCTCCCCCTGGATAACCGAACCAAGATACTTGAAGCTGCCTCTACTCGGGATGACCTGTGATTCAATCCGCACATCCACGCCAACTTCCACCGGCTCAGCGCTGAACTTACACTCCAGGTATTCCGTCTTCGTCCTGCTCAGCTTGAAACCCTTAGACTCAAGAGCTTGTCTCCAAACCTCTAGTCTCTCGTTAACACCGGCTCGCGACTCATCAATCAGAACTATGTCATCGGCGAATAGCATGCACCATGGCACATCCCCTTGAATATGGTGTGTCAACGCGTCCATCACCAAGGCGAGTAAGAATGGTCTGAGCGCAGAACCTTGGTGTAACCCCATTACAACCAGAAAATTCTCAGAGTCGCCTCCTACTGTTCTAACTCGAGTCTTAGCCCCATCATACATGTCCTTAATCGCCATAATGTAGGGAACCGACACACCTTTTGCCTCTAGGCATCTCCAGAGAACTTCTCTAGGATACTTTGTCATACGCTTTCTCTAAGTCAATAAACACCACGTGCAGATCCTTTTTCTTCTCTCTGTACAGTTCCACCAACCTCCTAACAAGGTGTATAGCTTTTGTAGTCGAACGACCCGGCATGAACCCGAACTGGTTGTCGGATACAAACATTGTCATCCTCATCCTCGCTTCAACCACCTGCTCCCACACTTTCATGGTATGACTCAGTAATTTGATACCCCTATAATTGTTACAACTCTGGATATCACCTTTGTTCTTATACATTGGAACCACCGTACTCCACCTCCACTCATCCGGCATCCTCTTCGCCTTAAAAATAACATTAAACAACCTAGTCAACCACTCCAAACCTGCTCTCCCCACACTTCCAAAATTCCACTGGAATCTCGCCTGACCCGGTCGCTCTGCCCCTGCTCATCTTACGCATAGCTCCCACTACCTCCTCGACCTCGATACGCCTGCAGTACCCAAAGTCACGGTGACTTTCGGAATGCTCCAATTCGCCTAGCACAATATCCCGATCCCCTTCTTCATTCAGAAGGTTATGAAAGTAAGTCTGCCATCTCTTCTTAATCTGGGCATCTTCCATCAATACTCTACCATCTCCGTCCTTGATGCATCTCACTTGGTCCAAATCTCGAGCCTTTCTCTCTCTCAACTTGGCCAACCAGAATAACTTCTTCTCCCCGCCTTTTTTCCCCAGTTCCTCGTACATACGACCATAAACCGCAGTCTTAGCCTCCGTGACCGCCAGCTTAGCCTCCTTCCTAGCTACCTTACACCTCTCCATGCACGCTCGCCTCTCCTCCTCTCCTATACTCCCCACTAACTTCAGGTACGCTGCCTTCTTCGCTTCCACTTTACCTTGGACCACTTCATTCCACCACCAGTCTCCTTTGTGCCCACCAGAGATGCCCGTCGAGACCCCTAACACCTCTCTCGCAGCCTCTCTAATACAGTCTGTTGTCGCTGACCACATAGTGCTCGCGTCACCACTGCTCCTCCACACTCCCATAGCCGACAACCGCCCCTCCAACTCTTGGGCTTTATCCTTAGTTAAGGACCCCCACCTGATTCTCGGTCTTCCTCGAGCAGACCTTTTCCTCCTCTTTAACATAATACCAACGTCTATCACCAAGAGTCTATGCTGCGTCGCGAGTATCTCATCCGGAATCACCTTGCAATCCTTGCACAACCCTGTGTCACACCTCCTGAGGAGGAGATAGTCAATCTGAGTCTTCGCCACCGCATTTTGAAAAGTAACCAAATGCCCCTCCCTCTTTGGAAAGCTAGAGTTCGCAATCACCAACCCAAAAGCCTTAGCTATCATTTAATAATATAGAATAATAAAAAATGATTACCTGAAGATATTTCAAGAGAAAAATGCCATAAAGCACAAAAATTTCCAGCAATTTAAGAAACGAGAAATTCAAAGGAATGAGAAACCAATTTATCTAATGCACGGTGACATTTGGAGAAGAATTTCCATCATATTCAAGCGGTAAAATTGTTTCAAAAGATTAAGGGAACAAGGAGATTTATAGCAGAGGTTTTACTCAGTATTTCTTCAGAAAACACCTTGGCTGACAAAGTACTACCGTCTTTTATCATTCAGAAGGTTACCATTTTCTATTACCCAATCAGTTCTCAGCATGCAACTGATTTTCTTCGTTGTCCCAGAAAAAACGTATATTTTAGAGGAAGAGTTTATATGAATTAGACAAGAAAAGTTCTCCGGAGCACAGTCTTAGAATAGCCATCCACATTAAGGACATACCTGTATAATGTCTCATACACTAAAGGAACACTTATCAAGTAATGTGGCTGATAACGCCGCAAATCTTCCTACAACAGTAAGAAGGTTGCTGAGGCAGTGGTAACAAAGATTAATAATCAAAGTACCAATAAATTTAAGGGGACAAAATATTAGGGCAGAGATCAGATCAATGTTTTAGATTCTCTCAAAACATCATTGGCGAAATAAGGGGTTTAGATTGACTACAAAATGGAAACACACCTTCAAATTTTTCACAGTTGTGTACACTTGCTCTGTTCCGTGTGTGAATATGAAATATTCACAAGCACGCTCATATGCATGCCAAGGCGGAAGCATGCTTAGAAATCTGTCCCCAGGTACAGCAGGTACAATCTCCCCCAAATTCAAAATCTAACAAGGAGAATGCAGGGATGTCAACAACTGTATGTACCCAAATACTAGCAGTCCAGCATACTTATCAATACCACAGATACTTTTAGAAGTTAAAGAAACACGGATGCTTGGCTATTAACATGATACTAAAAGATGGGAAACCAGCCAAACAAAAGATCAATCAGAAAAATAACAGCAACAGCAAAAAACATTATTTTCTATATACAATGGTAATAATAAGAAAACAGGCACCCATTCAAGTAATTAGGATCGCCAAGAAACATTTCTTGTTGGTTTTTGTTTCGCACAGCTTTTACGGTGATTTATTCCGACTGTATTACGATTCTTTCTGGTGATGTTTTAGTGACAATGTGACTCTTTTATGTGACCGTTCTGCTGGCACCGTGTCTCTTTATAGTGATCGCTCTGGTAGAACCACGACTCTTTCTAGTGAGCGTTCCAAAGGTAACATATTTGTTCTCAGTGGCTTTTACGGCGTTACTGCTAAGCGCCTCGCATGAACACTATTTTAGAAACATTTAAAGCAATATATTCTCCAAAACCCGTTCTCTTCTTTCTCTTCATGATATCAGAGTCGGGATATTGAGTCCATTTCGTGGACATTAAATTTCGATCATTGTCCTGACAAGTTTTTCGATTACTCTAAGCTGCCAATTCAAGCAATGCTCATGATGTTCTAAAGATTTGTGTATTTGTACCTCTTCGGGAGGAGTAAGAAAAGATCCATTTCCATATATGTTACAAGAAGCACTTTCTTTACACAATTACCATCAAATTTCAGGGGGAAAAGAATTCCAGCACTGCTTTTCTTTTGGGGATTGTTCATTATTCTAGCAACACTACTCGGACAGTTGTTCACTAATCAAGTATTTTTTTTTTGCAGTTCTTGTATTGGAAATAAAGTAAACTCACGACGTTTCACCACCTTGAGTTTGAGGGCTTCTGAACGTTAAGAAAATCATTAAATATTTGGTAGAATATCCTCGATAATGTCATAACTAAGAATTCAGAAATAGGATTCATTCTTTAAAAAGCCTATATAAGGAGCCCGCTTAGTAGTTAACCTACAATTCAGCAAGAGGTTTTTTCTCTTTTCTTTTTCTCTTTCACAAAACTAAACCTCACTTCTCAACCTAACTTTTTCTCACTGACGCCTTTCTCCAAGGGTATTTTATTCGTTTTTCTGCCACAAAAAAAATCACAAGAGTACAGAACCAATTGAAACACAAATTTTAAGATGACATAGCACTCAAGTTCAAAGACAGATTGGTCCATTTATCCTTTTCCCCGATTTTGTACCTCAAGTTAATAGCTTCTTTTCAGAACCAAGATCAGAATAACAGGATAAAGTTAATAAGACACTGATGAACCCGCAAAAATTAGCTACAACTACAGAATTCTTAGCACTAGAGTAAATGTACAAGTGCAAACCTGGTGAAGCAGATTTTTATGCGTAAGCATGACACCTTTTGGATTACCGGTGGTTCCACTGGTATAGACAATTGTAGCCACATCATCAGAGTTGATTGCCTCATATGAATATTGTTTCCCTAAAAAATTATTTTGTTAGTTACAGATATTCTCCCCAAAGGGAACTATATTATTGAAAAGTGCAACTTCAGAATCGAAGACAAAATAAAACTGTTACCAAACTGAATTATCGCATTGAACACATAACTGCGAAACATATAACTGCTAAATATATATAGCGAATACAGACTAGATATCGAGCTCATTACCAACATGGAAGTTGTAACAGAAATAGAAAGGAAAAAAAACAGAGTTGCTCTAATATCCATGAAAGATGTTAATAATCACTTGTCACCGGCCAAATTGATTTGAAAACACAAAAATTCCTACTAGCTTGAATAAGCATGTCCAAAATTCCATAAATTACAGGGTTACATTTCGACAAGCTAAAAGGGAAGCAGCAGGCCAAATTGTGATGATAGAATTAGCATGAGCTTCAGGATATTGATCTCTACGCTGAAGTCTCGAAATCTAATCTACTAAGTAATGATTTATTGTGTTTACATTAGGGAGGAGTTATCTTTAGCGTAGTATCTCAGAGAGCTCACAAACATAACATATACAGGAAAAGAGTCGGGAAGATAAACTTGCAACTTGAAGTCGAAAACTTCTTAAGACAACTATGCTCTAAGAAGATGATAAAGAAAAGTAGAGAGGAAAGAAATGCAGGATAAAGAGTCAAGGAAACTCTCTTGTTTGAAGAAAAGAAACCGCCAATATATCATCTTAGTAAAACACTAATTAGTTTTAAGCAAGAAATATTTTTTTAATTTAAATTATGTCTCTTACAGTAAATGTCTTACTGGCATCTTCAGAATCAAATAGATCCACACGACTCTTGTGACCCAATTCTATAATCTCCTTATAAGTATATACAGGATATCCCTGCACGGCTTCTCTTCCAAGGCTTGATTTCTCTCCCCAAAGTAAAATAGCAAATCGTACAGCTGCATGGGAACCAAAGGTGTCTGCAATCCGGTTGTACATCTCAGGATTGTCAATAGCAAGAGCGACACTGGCAAAATGCATGCAGAAAAAACAGGCTACTTCGTCAAATTGATCACACTTGCTGGTGTAAACTAAAGAACGAGAAACCCATGATTCTATAATCTGTCCACAAATGAGCAGAAGAAATATCATGCTCATTAACATGTTAATTAGAACAACCAACCAAATCTCAATGCGCAAGAACATCTGCACTAACCTTTCAGAGTGGCTATATAATTGCAATAGCTCTTGAACTGATGACCTTGAACCCCTCACAACGTTGATAGCCCCACTTGTCATTGTACCTAAAGGAAATTGGACACTTTTACGACAGAGCTTCCACTAAAATTGAACATAATTTAGACTGTAATTTTACACTATATCCCTACTTCACATATCATAACAACAAAAGAAAACCACAGTACATATAGTAGTCCTTTCGAATAAGCGCATCAGTGATTAAGCAACCCCATTTACCATCTCGTCGACATGCTTGAGTTCAAGTTATTTTACAGGACAGCATATTATCTGGACCTTATGATGGAAAATGTTGATTTTGTAGGTTTGCAAATGATAGACGAGCGCATGTGAATAACAGCCTGCTGACTTATCCCCTATTTAAACAAGCTAACACAGAAGCTTGCGCACTTGGCAGCTGTTCAGTATCTCATTTTCAAGAGATTTGAGAACTCAAATCCTGGAGATAACCAAGCAACTACCACCCCTCAATGGATGAGCTGAAAAGTAGCCCCTTCGTTCTCCATGATAATGAGCAGGAAAAAAGAAAAAGTGGTTAAATAGGCAATTACCAAGGTGGACGATGAAATGCACGTTATTGATTCCTTCCCTAATATGAGAATTCCTCTACAGAACTCTTAAGTAAGGAAAAACTGGGTACTTCTCCCATTATATTTTCAGAATTGTGTGCGCTTTCAATTGTTAATTTGGTTCATGAATTACTTTGGTTATGAATGTACTATTGTTTACTACTACAAGCCAGCTATTAAGTCCTAGAACAGGTAATTTATCAAAAAAAGATTGTCCTGCTACAAATAAACTTGGGTGTTCTTTTGACGGATAAAACAAAACAAAGCACGAACATAATTCATAGATTCGAACCATGAGCCATTGGCTTTAGGGGATTTCTCCGTAACCAAAAAAAATACTCTAGGGGTTTGGCCTAGTGGCAAGAGCGCAGCGTGACGTATGGGTTGGGCACACAACACGGTTAGACCAAAGCCTGGTATTTAAGTGGAGGAGGATAGAGGGGTGAGCCCATTATCCACCAAATTTTGAACCGTGAGCCACCGACCTCAGGATTTTCTCAGTTATAAGAAAAGACAACAATAACAACCTAGTAAAATCCCATCAAGTGGGGTCTGGTGAGGGTAGAGTGTACGCAGACCTTACCCCTACCCCGAAGGGGTAGAGAGGCTGTTTCCGGGAGACCCTCGGTTCAAAAGGCGAACAGAGATAATAGATCCTTACCAGCAGCAGCAACCAGAGAGATAATATAATATCAACATTGTAAGAGACAGAAAATAGATGGCAAGGCAATAACAAAAACAGTTACTAGTAACACAATACTATGAAAACGGGAAAATAATATGAACTCGGTTATAAGAAAAGATGAAAAATAATTCAAGGGCTTTAAATTCAAGTTATGTACATGATATATTTCTTGAGACATAATGGAGAGAAACAGTTAAATGATCAAAAGGTTGGTATTATATATGCCCTTCAGCATATGGGCAGTCCAGTGCACAAAGCATCTCATCATTCATGCAGGTATGAGGAAGGGCCGCACCCCAAGGGGTGTGATGTAGCCAGCGTACCCTAATGGAAGCATTAGTGCCTGCTTCGACGGCTAGAACCCATGACTTATATGCCCTTCAGCATACAAACTAATATTATCATAGTTTAATCGCAAAGATGGTGCTTCCAACTTCTGTCTGCTTATGTAGAGGGTTCAACTTTTTCAAGAAGCCATTATATGATAATTGGTGAGCCAATAGCCTGACTTCTTTTGTCTTTTTCATTAGCAGATCAGTATTTTCACGATCCATAAGTTTTACATGCGCATTTTAGGTTCATACCATTTATGATAATCAAGGGCTTTAATAAGTACCTAGGATTATCCTAATCCGCAAAAGAGCATGGGAAATTTTTGAAATCCGAAAAAGAAAACAGGAAAAAGAAAGAAAAAAGTAATACGTAATAATAAAGCTAAGAGTTACCGATTTCTAGGATTTACAAAATAGGACGGATTGATTTACCTTGATCTGCAACAAGCCATCGACATGAATTATCAGCAAAGAGTGCAATCTTCTCATTTGGCTTTAGCCCAACAACTCTCAAACCTTCAGAGAAATCCACAATCTCCTGACAAAGCTGCATTTTTTGGTAATGCATTTAGAAAAAGTACTATGGATAGAATAGGAGAGCTGATAACATAGTTAAATGCACTTAATTTTCCAGATTAGCTAGTCGCCTTCTTGCAAAATTTTGATTAAGTAGTAACTACAAAAACCATGCATCCAATTACACCCAAAACAGATTTTGACTAGGGAGACCACCAGGGGCGGAGCTAGTGTTTCAGTGACAGGTTCAGCCGAACACAGTATCTTTGACCCTAACTCTTTATTTGTCTTTAGAAATTCATTGAATATGTAAAATTTAATTTAGAACCCAGTAACTTAAAAAGACTAAAATCCCCCACTCATAATCTTCAAATCCTGACTCCACCTCTGGAGACCACAACTTTACTGCATTATCCTCTGCTATTTAGATTTAGTGCAATTACTCTCAAGCACAACCGTATATTCATGATAAATGATCTGCCCAAGTCTCAAAAGATCCAACAAACATTAACATTAGATTAGATTAAAAGAAGATTGCTAAGTCATCTCATCGTTTCCCTTATATAATAAAAAATAAAAAATAAAAAAGAAGATTGCTAGGTGAAATTTCTGTTGCCTCACAGTTTTTCAACTCTTCAGATCCACTTGATGTTAGGGACGAAATACTACCACCCCCCAGAATGATCAGATCTAGAAGCATTCATGACACTATTCATAGAAATCATGTTTAGAGCTATAGAAGCTTGAAATAAGAAATCAAATTCTACCACCCATTTTTGGAACAAAGGGAGCACAGAATATACGACAATTTCTTTTTTTGAGAAGGAATATACGACAAATTTACCTGAAAGAAAAGAAAGAAAAAGGAAGACGGCCGGGCTAAGGATGAATCAAATTCCTAAAGTCAAAGGCAAGGCCATACACCGTTTGGTTCACCACGCCTAAAAGCAACCACATAGTCAAACAAAAGACTATAATCCTACACCAACATTGACTCATAAATACTGAAAAGGAAGATCCTACCTAGGAACTCATGTTGATAATATTTGTTCCCAGCAAGCACTTACAAATGAAAGACAGGAAGCCCACGCCTTCACGCATACGGATAAAAAGATGGATAGTCTCATACAGTCGGCCAACAGAGGGCCACTACACAAACTTGTGAAAGCAACTATCATTCCAGAGAAAAAGCTCTTTAAAACAGAAGAAAATTTTATAGCAGGATTTAATGAATTCCCATAATGCAGGACTTCACATATTAAAATAATTAACACAAAGGGTTGATTATTTCATCTTTAGATAAAAATAAACCAAAAAAAGGATATTGAAAAGAATAAAATGAGAATAAAGAAAAAAAATTGACCTGTTTATAAGTCATGCTTGTAGGAGGATCATGATATGGGTCCACAACTGCTACATGATCACCAAATTTCTCTGACGAAGTCCGCCAAATGTCGGGAACAGTTCTCCACTCTGTCAAGGGCAACCCACCATTACCGGACAACAATTCACTTTCTAGAAAAGGCGAGCACTTCCTGATTTCCATTTCTGCAGTCTGGGAACATGATTCGATGAATCCCATAAATAAATACACAATAGAAGCAGTAGCTGAACACTACATGATAAGTTTTCAAATTGACTAAAAACAATTGACAGGTACAGGTAAATTTATATACTTATAGGATGATGCCGGAGAGTCGGTGAACGTTACATTTAAAAGACCACCATGTGTTTCCTGACACTTTATCTTCTCTAGTCTCCCACAATAATAATTTTTGAAGATTCAACTAACAAGCTTAACTCAAAAACTGGATAGGGTTATAACTTATAAAGGATGGTGGATTGGTAGTGAAGATTTTGAAACTTCATAATAAAAGTTTTCTTTGATTGGGAGATTAGAAGGGTGAACCTTTTGATTGAGAAACTAGCAGTGATTATCGAAGAAAGTTCGTAAAACTTTTCTAATAGCCAATGTAGATGGCAAATTTTCTCTGAACTCAAGTTATAGGCTGTTGTGAAAATAAAATGTTGAAAATGAGATTTATCTGCCCTGGAAAATGTAAATGGAAACAAAATCTCCACCTAAAATGGTATGCTTTATATGGATTCTTACATAATGCAGCCTAACCCAGGATAATTTATAGAGAAGAGGCTTTAAATATGCAACATATGATGCACCTAAGGGTATGTCCAGTGGTCAATGAAGTTGAATAAAGACCACGGAAGACAGCAAAACAATAGGTAATTTCTTCTTAGCTGCCTAAGTCTGGGCGAACAGAGTTACCACCTAGAGTTACCCAATATCTATATAGTTTGGATGGTGCAGCTATTCAAGTTGAGGTGTCTGCAAACTAACCCACCCGATTACCACTACGATAAAAATACAATAAAAATTATCAACAGTCCTAATATTACTCTCGCCCAAATATGCTTAAATTCAAAGTTCTGATGGAATCCAGACAGTTATGGAGCATTTGTTTTAACATATATGGAGTCCAGTGGGTTATGCCCGAATACTTGAAAGAGGCTACAAGCTGGGTAGGGACAAAGGACACTTAAGAGGCAGAGACAAGCTTGGCGAGAAATTCCTCTCTATGTACGCAGGACAGTGTGGAACGTGGATAGATAGAAACCATAGATGCTTGATGGGAAAGAACATACATCTCTTGTAAAGTTCAAATATCTTGAAAATCATCATTTTTATGCAGGATGAATAGTGTAAACAAAACAGATGATATGCTGGACTTAATTGACTCCTTATAGCTATAAAAGCGATCAGCCACAGATGACTACACCTGCTTTGTGCCACTCTATCAATGAGATTACTTTAACTGTTCGAAGAATTATTTCAAGATCGGTACACAAAATGCATCAACAATAAAACTGTAATTGGAGGCTAACTAAATTTAGTTGGTATTAAGAAAATTACATTTAAACACAAAAGGGTACTGAATCCAATAAAAAAGTATTCGCAACATATTCATTCAGGAAATTTCCATTCTAAATGCAATTAATGCTGCTTGTCCTTCCCAAGCTTAAGTCAATTATAGCAATTGTACTTTCAAACCTGGACTAAGTTATAACAAATAGGAAAAACATTGCAAATTAATGTAGAACAATGATAAATACTCCCTCTGTCCCAAATTTATGTGACACACTTTCCTCTTTAGGCTATCCCAAAAAGTTACACCTTTCTACACTTGGAAACAATAACTTTAAACTTTCAATTTTACCCTTAGTGACATTTAACTGGAGCCAGTATGGAGGGATAGAGATAGGCTGAGTCCTCGGTACTAAGCCAATGCAAAACTCAACTTCTCGCCTAGGAGGTAACCCAAGAAATCTTCTGGAAATACATTTCTGAATCCGCAATTTTATAGACATGCAAATGTCTATGACAATGTTTTAGACCACAAGTGTCAAAAAAATTCTATATTTCTTAACTTTGTTCCTACTTCCTAGTAAAAAATCAGTCACGTAAAATGGGACAGAGGGAGTATAATTTACAATGATGATTACAATTAACAACTATAGTTAAAGGGCAGCCCAGTGCACTAAGCTCTCGTTATGCGCGGGTCCAAAAAAGCATCATACCACGAGGGTTTATTGTACACAGAATTAGTTTCCACGGCGGCTAGAACGCGTGACCATCACACGGCAGCAACTTTATATGTTACACCAGCGCTACCGTTCAATTAAAAACTATAATTATTTTTAAAAAAAGAAAGAAACAGAAAGAGCATTACATAAAACAAAGTACTAAGAATCACCTTAGACTCGCAATAAACTCGACCAACCCTCTGACTTGTGTGTGACTTGGAGTTGACCAATTTCTGCTGAGACCAAAAATGGCTTACCCCATATCTTCCACTATATGGGGTAGCAAAAAGATTGGATTTTAGGCTCATGGTAATCATCTCTGACATCTACAACAAACCCCTTTTAATTTCTGTGCATAAATATATTGTACAGAGGGTAATTCCCTGATGTTACAGATTGAAATCTCGAGGGTATTAATGGTGAGAAGGAGTCAATAGTTAGGAATTAAGCAAAGAAAAATAGAGAGGAACAAAGCTGCAGCATTGAAGTAACCGCAGAGAAGAATTGAAAGGGGTGGAAAATAGTGAAGAATTGATGACTTCTAGGAATTCATTCACGAGTGAGAGGAGTGTGTGTGAGAGAGAGAGAGAGCGAGAGAGCGCATTGATTAGTGTGACATTCGACAAGTTTGGCAACCAATCTATAATTGTAAAACTCTCTTTTAACTACTTCTAGTAGTACTATGAAAATTTTGTCCATAAAAAGAATTTTTTTTTGGAAGAACCGTAAGCAGTTTTTGAGAAGTAGAAAAAAAGTATAGTTTCTTCCCGAGAGCATAAGCAAAAATAGTTTTGAATTTTCTTTTTATCAAAAATATCTTTAATAAAATATAATATATATTAAAATAACTGTTAAACCTTATACTTAGGCTATTAATATATAAATATTTCTTACTATTTTTAGTATATCTTTCTAATATATAGTGACTTTAGGAGCGAATGCTTTTATATTTGTTGAATGATTTTTAATATATTTAACTTATATTAAAATAATTAAGTACTTTTAAATTTTATTTTTATATTTTACTTAAATAAAATAAAAGGATCTAACTATTGCTTGTAATAATAAATTTTTAAGATTATATATTTATTTATAATATTAACTATTAAGTAAATATATTAATGTCCTTATTCGTAATTTGATACTTAAAAGTACTTTCTGAAAATCTTGACCAAACACAAATTATTGCTCAAAAGTATTTTTCAGAGTGATTAGCCAAACACAAACTTCTTCTCTCCAAAAGTACTTTTTTCAAAAGCACTTTTGAAAAAAATACTTCTCAAAATAAGTTAATTTCTCTAGTTTGGCCAAACAGGCTAGTAATATCCTACCCCTATTTGTCTCTTCTTGAATTTCAGGAAACAAATTAATATAGAAAGGGTATTTAGTTTGTGAAAATGACTAGAAATATTTGTGTAAAAGTATACTCGGCCTTGGCCCAGTAACTCCATAAGAACATGGGCTCTGAACTAGAAGTGCACCAATAACCACTTTTTAGACCATTATTTAAAATAAATTCATAATTATAATATATTTAAATAATAGCCAATTCACTCAAACTTCATGACTAAGTATCCTAAATTTGGAAATCTAAGACTTAGTGTCCTGAACTTTTGAGCTGCTAATTTGAATTTCAGGACTAAGTATCCTGAATTTCTGAACTTCTAATTTAAAATTCAAGACATAAGATTCAAACTTCTGGACACAATTTTCGAACTTTAGGATACGATATCCTGAAGTTTGAACTTTGAGGTTTGAACTTTGAGGTTTAAACTTCAAGACGTCATGTCCTAAAATTTGAATAAATTGGCTAATTTTTAAATACATTGTAAACTATAAATATATTTTAAACAACATGCTTAAAAGTGACTACCTAGTGTCATTTTTATGGACTAGATAGATAACGGGGTTTTACAAAATTCAGAGCAAAGAAAGGGTAGAAATGACACCAGGTGGCCATTTTAAAGGGATGTTATTTATGAATTAGTCAGTGCATCCTGGATTTCAGTTTTTTCGTTTAATTTTTTAGGACAAAAATATCATGAGTTGTACTGAAGTTAAGATTTTAGTTTAAAATTTCAGGACAAAATAATTATTGGCTTATCTCTAAATAACATCTCTACAAATGGCTATATGTACACTTGTCATTGGGGGCAGGAAAAGGCCCAAATACAATATCTTCGGTTTGCACAAATAATTGAAACAATTAGGAAGTGTAGAATATGTTTCCTCGCAATAATTAATCATAGAAGATCCACATGCAATTGAAACTTTTCTGTTCTGTATTTTTTTTCTTTTTTTACATCCAGATATTTATTAGGAAATTTATTTTTGAATAAAATACTAGGAAATACTCGATAATTGCAATCGAATTGAACAAAACTTGAGGACTCGATGTGATGATTTTACAATTCCATGATATTATCCCAAAAGTTTTCTCATTAGTGAGCATGGGTGACTCGACTACAATACCAGTAAAGCAATTGCTTGGAGGCCATCTTTTTTGGGGTTTCATTTTTTTATTAAAAATATATTGTATATGTATTATTAAAAAATATGTAAATTTAAATTTAAATAAATTTTTGGAGCGAAAGTACAATTATTTTCATGTGAGGATCGTTATAATAATTAGTGAGTGAAATAATTTTTAATGAATTGTTTCCTTACATGGGTAGGGTAGCTATTTTTTGCCTCATTTATATCCTAACAACGAAACTAATACGGGCCCATATTATTATTTATATATTTGCCCTCTACATTCTCTGACAAGGTGGGTTGCTCTGATGGTAAGTATCCTCCACTTCCAACCAAGAGGTTGTGAGTTCGAGTCACCCCAAGAGCAAGGTGGGGAGTTCTTGGAGGGAAGGATGCCGAGGTTTTCTATTGGAAACAGCCTCTCTACCCCAGGGTAGGGGTAAGGTCTGCGTACACACTGCCCTCCCCAGATCCCACTAGTGGGATTTATCATGACTTATTCGCTTTCGTTACTTTCATTTTCATACCGTATTGAATTGATTGTCCTTATCTGACCGTTTTTTTTGCCATGCGTACACTTTACCTCTCCAGACCCCACTTTGTAGATTTTCATTGGGTATGTTGTTGTATATCAACATATTAAATTCTTGAGCCGTTTTTATGATTCTACCTTTATTAAACTACTCTCTATTTAGATTATATACAAAAAAAAAAAAACTAACTCTAGGCTATTCCACACGCTATCTAGTAAAAATATGATTAGCTGAAGTGGATTTTCTTTTTTTTGTAGTAGATGTCGAATCTGCCGTGCCTCATTGGCGAAGAAGGGGGCAGACAAAGCAAATACATGAACCGCTTCATTTCTCACAGCAGGCAATTCTACTGACAGAGCAATCTTTAAGCAATGATTGTCAATTGACACTCTTTTTCCCCAAAATTACGAACTATAATTAGATAGAGTTATTTTTATGTATGTATATTATATTTTCTGTTGGACGCTAAAGGAACAAGATTCTTCATTACTTTAATAGATTAATTAGTAGATTAATTAGCAAGAGATTTCATTTCTGTTTGGATGGGCAGAGGCATATTCATGATTTAAAGCTTAAGAGTTTCTACATCGACTCTAAGTACAGTACTCAGTGCCCTAAACTCCCGTTATGCGTTGGATTTCGAGGAAGGGTCGGATTACAAGTATCTATCGTACGCAACCTTATCCTACATTTCTGTAAGAGGCTGTTTCACAGCTCGAACCTGTGACCTCCTGGTCACATGACAACAACTTTACCAACTATGCCAAAACTCTCTTTCCTACATCGACTTCAAGTAAATTTATAATAATAACTGAGTTTACAGTCAAATATTTATTAAACTTCTTAATACATAACAAAATCTAAACAAAAGCTATTAGGTTTTCACAAACCGTACGTCGAACACTCGAACTCTAGATCCACCAGTCGATGGGGTAATAATCACTTTGCATGTGCAATTCCCAAAGTTATATAGAAAGATTAATATTTTTTGTTGCGAATCATATGCCAAAAATTAATTATAATTGTGTTTATTCGAAAAACGGATAGAGTTAAATTTATACATAGTCCTAAGGATACATGATATAACTTAGTACAAACCGAAAAAATAAGTAGAGATATATCGAATATTGACTGTAAAAAGGAATTAAAACAAACCGAAATTGAGTGGGGAATGATATTTATATGAACAAGATGAACCAATGTACAAAGCCCAAAAAAGGATAATCTTTATTATATGTGTGTAAATCTCAATAATTTCTGAATATGAGAGTGTATCAATGTTTGCTTCTCTGGATGCTCAATCTGCCTTACAGAAATGATACCCACTCTTAATATAGTGGAAAAATTCTACTTTGGATATACTAAAAAATACATAATGGGGATTCCATGATAGATTAGTTAATTAGCTTTTCCTTAATTTTCGTCGAGATTCTCTCCCTAAGTGCGGCTACAACGGCTCTTTATCTCTTAGTTCGATCTTGGTCGGTCTTGGTATTGGACGATCTCCGAATCTCGAGCTCGATATTGACTCGAGCTCGATATTGACTCGGGCTCGGTATTAATCGGTCTCTGGATCTTGAGCTCGATAACACTACCTCATATCATAGCTCGATATTGACTCGAGCTCGATATTGACTCGGGCTCGATATTGACCGGTCTCTGGCTCTTGAGCTCGATAACACTACTTCATATCATAGCTCGATATTGACTCGAGCTCGATATTGACTCGGGTTCGATATTGATCGGTCCCTGAATCTTGAACTCAATAACCTGGCTTTACTTATTATCTCGATGTTACAATGACGACCCTTAGTTCATCATGTTCCAATCTCGACTAATTACACGAAGGGCAAACTCAGATTTGACCGTATACAGATAGTCCCCTTGTTTCTCGGAAAGAATGTGGCGAGAAACAATATGATTTTCCAATGATATGACTAGATATACACTGATGTCTGCATCGAGTCCGACCATGATGTACGTGATAATGTTCCGTCGGTTCAGTTACCAAGGCATTAAATATGCGTCAGACAACGGTCGGCCACTGCTGATATTGAATTGTCATCGCCAAATCTATAAATAGCTCCTCTCTTCACCATTTTTTACTTTTAAAATTCCAATCTCCAAATCTACTAAGTTCTTTTTTGCATCTTCTGAGTTCTTCATCTGCAAATCTGCGATTTTCACTGCTAACCTCTTCTTAGAACACCAAATCTTATCATCTCCCTCTATTTTAACTTCAAATCCAAATGGCGAAAACGTCAAAAATTGTTCCTCAAAAAGAAAACGCTTCTTCATCGCGGCCGCCCGGCGACAAAATACTGGTGGAGCCACGACCTGAGGAGTGTATTCCTGGGGGGTGTGTCCTCACTTCTGATTTTAAGACCGATAAAACCTCGTCGGTTTTCGGTCGATGCGAGCCAATATCGAGGTATATATGCTCGATACTGAGGGATACCTTAAGCAGGTAAGGAAAGATTGCAACTGGGAGAACAAAGAAGTGGTGATCCCGACTCCCGAAGAAGATATCACCACCCGTGTGGAAGGATTTTTAAGTGTTTACACTTACCCTTTCACGCTGGGCCCCCTCGACCCTGTTGTCGTTGATTTTTGCCGTCAGTATTAAATAACC